TAAATCTTGGTCAACTCGGCTTTGGGCTGTGTGGCTGTGCTGGCTGTGTGTCCAAGAATGCGTTTCGGTACGTCGACCAAGGCTTTGGGGAAGAGGAAGGTATCCTGGGGACAGATCCTCGCCGCTCTTTCGGCTGATCAGCAATTGGGAACAATTGCTGGTGTGCTGGAGAGGAGTGGTTGGTTTCCCAAATTTCGCAACCATGGCAATCCATCTTCTTTAAACATCTATACCTGGATTCTGAAAAGACATCCTTTTTCCGTCAGGCCAGAAAAAATAGACGCAGAAACATGCAGAAAGTTCACGACAAACACGACACCCAAGACGGACACCGGAGTGACAAAAACAATCCCGAAATTGATTCTAGTATTCTCTTGGAGCTTCGCCTGAACATTGCTGCACCACAAAAAAAGTACAATAAATAAAATGTATTAAAGTGTCTTTTAGGTCTAGTGCTCATGTAGTCAAGGTCACTTTCAGATGGACAAAGGAGCCGGTGAGGATGCTGCCATGCTCTTTTTCGAGCATTCCTTGCTTAGTTCATAGTGGTCTGTGCTGGGAACACAATTCGCCACAAGCAGCGGATCTGGAAGCAAGGATCTTCCCCCAGGGACATGGCGGGAAGAAATGAAGCACACCCACGTTGATCTGCATGATTTCATCAATATATTTCACTAGGTCACTAGGTTAGCATCCGGCCTGAGGAAAATGGAAAAATCCGTCACCAGGCAGGTGTCTTGGCGTGTTGAGAGCAAGTAAAGTACACTCCGACTCACTAACATGGGAGTGTCAATAACCCTGCTTCCTTCGGAAACATCGTCTTCCTAAGGAACCATTTTCCGCTCACTAACATGCGTGAGTCAGAGTGTAAAAGGGTGCCTCCACAGCAGGGGTCCCCTCAAAACCCTTTTGAGGGCCCGGATTCTTAAGGTAGTGAGTCGGAGTGTTTCTTTCAGTCCGGATGCCAAATCAGTCGCTGAAAAAGGCTGAAAAGGGCGACCTTGAAGCAAAACACCACCCGTGCGAAATGCGTCTGAGATGAGCGTCGAACCACACATGCACACACACCCACCTTCTTGAGCCAGAAGTCGTACTTGCACTTCAGAAGTTTGAAGCGCGACAGCTGCGCCTGGAAGACCACCCGAAGACCCGTGGCCCCGACCACCGCCGCGCCGGGGCGCACGGACGGACGTCCGGCTTCGACGGAAGCTGCGGGTCCCAATGGGCCGAAATAGACAGTGGAGGGTCAGGTTCAATGCATCAGCATTCTGTAGGTACAGGTGACCGACATGGGGGCTGAAATGGAGACTTCTTGGGCAGAAACGGCGGCCTGGCAGGTTTTGGTGTGTGCGTGTGTCAACCCCTGTCTCAAAAGGATCTATTTTAGTTATCTATCTATTCTATTCTCATTCAAGCTTGTACAGACAAACTGCAGGGGGCCCATGGGCACATGGATGGCATGGGCCAACGAAGACCCATCCATGTTGCCGTGAAAACGTACCTGCACCAATTTTTCAATTCTTCATGTCGAACTGGTGATCCTGCTGTTCACTAAAGTGCTAACGCGTGATGTTCAAACATTTCAGTTTTGCCGACCCAGCCAGCTTTCCTTCAGTTCTGCAAGTCAAGTGCTAAGTATTCACTTAAAGGGCTAATGCTCACCGCGAATTGCCTGAAGACAAGCTCCCCGGAGCAACCTTCTCAAGTGTGTCTTCGCAGCTTCTTCCCACAGTGGTAAGCTGTGTGAACCCTACGGGGCGCCGTTACCGAGAGAACCTTCTCACTCCTCAACGTGGGAGTAATTCCTCTGAAGTTTTCTGAAATCCTTTTGACTGAATTTTCGTGCTCGAAATCAGCTTGTTCGGAGTGTCTCACCACGTACACATGAATTTCACTGCACAGTTCACTGCAAGTCTTACTGAAGTATACTGCAGAGTTCAACTGAATCCAGTCTCACCCCGGAGAGGTCTTTCCAATTTTTAACTTTCATAGAAATTTATATGCGCCGATTTCGGCTTCTCGGCCAGTGCCTCCGGGCCCGTGCCGTTCGCTCGTAAGAGCATTCCCCCCCCCAACACCCCCTGCACCTTTGCTTGTCTTTCCTTGCCTTTTCGTTTGTCTTGTTCCTTCCTTCAGGCTTTTTAGGTATGATGCAGGCTCGTTTAGTCAACGCACGCCCTGCCCCCCCCGCACCCCCTGCACCTTTCTCTTCTTTCCTTGCCTTTTCGCTTGTCTTGTT